TATAAGGCAATAATTAGGGTAGGATTATAATTCTTTTTTAAATGTCATTTACGGAAATCATTGTTGCAATCCCTATTGATTGGAGTTCATATCTAATTTTACAAAACAATATTTGCCTGAATTTAGTTATCTGGATCATGGTGATAGATGATTAGGTTGTCACAGATGATATCGGATATGTTCCTTATGTCGTAACTACAATACCTTTTCACGAATGTGACCTACCGATTTAGACTTTTTACCGGATTTGTAATAGCATAAGCAACACGACGGGTGCCACATGTGGAGCAGGATCTGCTTACCCTTCCGGAGCACCTGAGATCACCCCCAGTTTTTGGTGGGGTTCGTGTTGCTTAGTCTTTAGTTTTCTATGTTGTGTCATCTGTACTATTATTTGTCTGTTTGTCTTTTTATTTTTGACTATGGCGTTGTCAGTTTGTTTTCGATCTATGAGTTTGACTGTCCCTCTGGTATCTTTCGTCACTCTTTTATAACCACTGGGTCGATGTCTCTGCTGGTGGACATTTTGTCCCCGAGGACATCATCTGCCCAGTAGCAAAATTGCATGAATTTACGAAGATCTAACAGGATACTGGCTCAGACGTCGCCCGAAATAAAAAGGTCCGAAACAGACGTCACCATGGACACGGTGTCGTCTGATAAGGTAGATGTCCCCTCATTACCAGACATGACAAATATCTCAGACATGACACATTCAGATCATCATACTAGTGAAAATAGCAATAGTACACATACACAGCCATGTTCAGTTCTCCTTAAAGGCATTTTGGATTTTGATGACTCTGAACAACACTGTCTCATTTCGAAATGTGGAACTAATGGCTGCAAAACTTGTGAAATTTTAATAACAGATGCTCAATTCACTAGCAATTTAACTAAACAGTCTTATTTTACTAGAAGTTACGATGATCTCAATTGTAAATCTATAAATGTCGTCTACGGATTAGAGTGTAACCTTTGCGGATTGGTTTACGTCGGAGAAACGAAAGGAAGGCTAAACAAACGTATATGCGGCCATAGATCAGATATTAACCTCAATGCAAACGACATTCTGTACCAGCATTTTAATCAGCCTGATCATTCCATCGTTTCTATGACAGTTCGTTTTATCGAAAAAATATACCACAAGACTAACAATCCTCAACTTGCAACGCCTCTCCGTAAACAAAAAGAGGACTACTGGATTCGACAATTTGGAACTGCGACACCATATGGTTGCAATGACAAAATTGATGGTATAGGTATTCTATCTAGTCCTTCCTGTAGCTCGGTGAATGTGATGAATATTTTCAATTCTACTCCTCGACGTAGACGCAGTCATGGTCATCGTCATTATACATCACCTACTTTGCATGATATCTCTATTAATGACTTGCTGCCATTTATACAAAAGCCGTTAGGTATTCATCACATTCGCACGAAACTGTATTCATTACCCCTTTCAAAACTTCATTTTCTGTTCAATTTATGTTTGGAAACCACTGTTACAAACCCTCATTCAAACCAATACAAACTTACAGCTATCATTTCGGATATTGCAAGTCACAGACTTTTCAAACCAGTTCGCATTGGAAAAGATGAAAAAGAGAAAAGATCTTTTCCTAAACTTTCTTTTGCCAACAAATGTCTCGATGGCGTCAACTTAGACAATATCCTTCATCATAAATTAGTACAGTCGAAAATACCTCCTTATTTTAAAGATCAGTCTGTACCAATAATTTCTTATACCTATACCAAACCAATTGCAACTAAAATTTTTAATTACAAACATGTTTTGCAGGATCTCAACATTGACGACTTCAAGTCTTAACCTCCTGATTGCACCTGTGCTAGTTCCCATTTCACATATAGTCCGGCTGGCCACGTTATTACCGGAGACCTCAACATTGCCAATAACACTTCCCTGCGAAATTTGTTATCCAAGGTCCGAAATATCGTGAGCCTAAATCCATCAATTGGAAATACAACTTCAAAATACTAATGGATTCAGTAGAGGATTATGCAAGGCAATGGGCTAAACGCAAGAAAGAAGACGTAGTTACTCTTTCCGAATGGATTAAGGCTGTGAGGTCGTTGATACAAATCCGAATTAAGAAACTAAATGGGCCTATCAATACCCACGCTACGTCAATTTTTAAAGACCCAAATGTTGCAAAACACTTGTCCTACCTCCATGACAAATATGTTGTTGTGCCCGCAGATAAAGCCCCAAACAACATCGTTTTTGTGTGTAAATATCATTACATAAACCGCTTGATAAATGAATTAGGTATTGACAATTCACTTGGAAACTCAACATATACCCTCACGACACTTACCAAAGAGGAAATCCTGGATAATCATGAGTCTGTTCTATGTTCCTTTGGAATTTCAACCAAAGATGAAGAACTGGATCTTCTATCACTGTATTGGATACCTAAACTACATAAATGTCCTTACAAACAACGGTATATTGCTGGGTCTTCCAAGTGCTCAGCGAAACCTCTTTCTAAATTATTAACATCTATTTTATCAGTAATCAAAGCCGGGCTCCAAAGTTATTGTGAAACTGCCTATTCGAAAGGTGGCGTGAATCAGATGTGGATACTAAAAAATTTCAAAGATCTTTTAGAGTACATACAATCTAAGACTCTTTCATCTTGCAATAGTATTAAAACATTTGACTTTTCTACACTTTACACAAGTATTTCCCATTCCAAACTAAAAGACAAATTGAAAGAGTTGGTATTACTTTGTTTCATTAAAAAGAATGGCGAACGTAGATACAAGGATCTTGTCCTGGGGAGGGATAAATCCTACTTTGTAAAGAATCACTCTGATTCAAACAAAAAATTCTCTGAAAATGTCATTATCAAGATGCTTCATTTCGTGATTGACAACATATTTGTTACGTTTGGAGGACGTGTTTTTCAACAGACTGTCGGAATTCCAATGGGAACCGTTCTGGTGAGACACAATTTCACAGGTAAACCCTATAATCACCATTCCTAACTGTTTCAGTTTTTCCAGACAATATGTAATTTGTTTGTTTGTTTTGTTTGGTTGCTGTATCATTAATAACTATGACGTCTTGTACATAACAACCTTTCGTATTTAATAACGCGCACACATGATCAAGCGTCTCCGTGAAGGGTAATAGAGTATTTGCCATAGGATAGAGTGAATTGTCTCCCTCGTATTTACCAATCAAAATCTGGCATTTTGACATGAAGAATAATAAAACAAATTACCATAGTACAATAACACAATGGCAAGATGTATAAATACCGAGCCGCGCCAAACGAATATTACCAAAAATAGACTAAACAGTAAAGGTTAAAAATGTACACAGACAAATAAAAAGAACACTATAACACTTAATTAAGATGATAAACAACGTCAGTACCTAATATGAATATTCGAAGACCATCATGTATTATTTGTGAAGTTGATACGGAATATTTATCAACAAAGTCTTGGTATCTTCCGATGAACTTATTTTTAGAAAAAGGACGAGACGTTCTTTGACATAACCTTGGTACATCAACGTTTTGCTCAGACACTGCTGACGTTTATAAAGTCTGAGATGTAGCTGCAAGCTCTTGAATACCGAATGAGTTGGAAAATATATATCCCATACGCAGGCGAAGTTGGTATATTGTGCTAAGGTTTGGGAAATTTATAATTTCAAAATTGAAATCGTCTCGTTTGTAATAGATTCTGGTACTGAGATGACTAATTTGAGGTATAAGTCTAAAAGTGAGGCAGAGGAAGCCGTGTCTGTTGTTTCTTTAATTTCTAGTTCGGGAGGATACATTAATGGAACCCAATCAGAAAAGTTCGGATTGTTAATGGAAAGTACATCATCAATATATCTGAATGTGAAATTAAATGATCTGGCTTCTTTGATCTTTTTGTTTTTGACAAGTGTCTGCAGGAACTCCGACTCATATGAAAATAAGAAGATGTTGGCAAGGAGAGGCGCATAGTTCGTTCCCATAGGAATGTCGACAGTTTGTTGAAAGAATTGACATCCATATTCAACAAATATGAAACTCCAGCATACTGATCACTTGTATTGAACAAATGCACCAATCTTTAAAATGTATTACTTTACATAGCTATGTATGACCGTTTTATATTATTATGCTCTCAAATTCATCAAAAAAGCAAAATCTTTAGTACATGATGATATTTTTATTAAGGATATATAATACAAAAGTATCATAACTGCAAAGCATCAAGTGCACATTTAAACAATATTCAAATGACATTGCTAGCCAATTAAAAGCCAAAATATAATTTAAAATAATGAAACGTTGAGTGTAAAGTTACATTTTTACCGAACAAATACATCATAACAAACAGATAAATGGAATACAAAAATATTAAAATGTCATAATACTGATAAGTGAAAAATGGAGTTTTATAAAATAATCAATATAACATACCTGTTGTTCTTTGAAAAATATATTTACCTTTATTTCCCCATGGTTCATATTTCGAATGAAAAAGTGATAGCTTCTTTCAATTAGTTTTTAAATTAAATGATGATTGTCTTTATCAATTAGTCACAGAACAAAATACACAACATTTGCTTGGTATGATCATAAAAGTAAAATGAAAATATAATACTTAAATGGTATGATAATGGGTTATAGTATAATTCTCAGTTATTTTCTATTTAAAATATATAATTAAGAAGAATGCATTACAAATTATTATACTCAGTGAATGCACCTAGAAAAAGGACATAATTTATTCATAAATTATACGTTATACCTAACGTAAGTTTCAGACTATTTATTCATATCATTGGCTGTGGAACATGTGTCACATTGGAATTGTCTCCCTTTTATCAGAAATAATGTCAATTAAATATATCTCAAATATAACACATGTTCACCTTTTTTCCTTTCTTTTGGTCATGCTGTTATCTCAATTTCTTTGAAGTGTTGTTATTGATTATTACGTTTATGTTCCGCCTTCTTCGTCGTCTATAGATGCATATTTGTATTATACTAAGTCAGGATGTCTCTTTATTAGGTTGAGGAGTTACAGTATTAACAATTAGGTAGTGACATGCATAACATTAAGTTATAGCGAAAGTCCAAATCGCCCATAATTTCCCACGAATGGACATTTATTTGGACTTTCGCGTACCTAAACATAAATTAAAATCTTAAGAGTATAACATTTTATAGAATTTTATTTCATTTTGTAATTGTTTTCTTTTCAATTTCCCTCGGTTTATTCAATAATCCGTAGGCAAAATTTGAGGATCAAGCTAACCATCTACTCTTTTAACAAAGTTTTTATGAACAGTAGAATAATTACTATAAAAAGTTCATTCATATTTATGGCTTAAGTCATTGGATATGCACGTCTTTCTTGTAGTGGGATTGAAAGGATATATATTTGTGTCTTTAAGTGGTATTTCGGTAGAGAAAAAAAACCTAATATTTATGCATATATGTTGGTGGATTATGTGTGTTTTTCATTTGACAAATATTGGATGTAGAATCGTCTAGGAAAAATAAAATAGTACAACTAGAATAAATTTCGAGGTATGTAACACTTTAGTCTAGATTATTTTACTAATAAGGGTGTGCTCGATTATAAGTTATTTCGGAAATAAAATGTGATTCTATATTTCAAACAATTCTATTAAATGCAATAAAATTAAACACTAAAACAGCGTTTCATGCATGACCCAACATTTTTTCTTTCTCTGTGCTTATTACAACGAACAACAATTTTATGTTTTTAGATGAGTCTTAAACAGCAATCCAAGCAAACTAAAAATGTTTTTCATTCTTCCTTATCATCAGAAAGGAAACAACAAAGTTTTAAAAAATCCGCGTGATTAAAAACATTTCTGGTTTTCGTTTTGCATGTCTTTCACTTAGACTTATTTCGTTTAAACATTTCAAGATATAGTTCCGTCATCTGCACTACCGATATAACTGTTAATCTATATTTGACCATTTCAGTTGCATGAACTATTTATTCTATTAACCCACAATATTAATTGTTGAAACTATCCGAGTAACTCTTCTGTTTTAATGTATATATCAAAATGCACCAAACGATTTTTGTTGTAAAAATCAAAATACATCATTTCATATTTTAAGATGGATATTTAAACGGTAAAATCAAAAGCAAATCTTTAAGCAAAATATATTTTTTCTCTAATTTTCATTATTGAATAAAATTAATGTGTTCAATATTACAAAATATTTCAACTGAGTTAACACAGTTAATATGTTGTAGATGCACAGAAGAGGAATGGCACACAATGGATGATACATGTAACAGAAATTCAGCCAAGTTTTGCTGCAAAACAAACTTTGGATATTTTTGTAGAATTTTAGTTAATACGATACTACATTTGATACGATGGAATTACGACTCGCATATAAAATTACTTTGTTAATAATGAGATATTTGGTGTTTATTGTATTACTACGATCCCACCTCAAAAAAACAGTATCAGCCGTTTAACTAAGTTTTCATCTTCATTAAATATCGCGTTAGGTCCTTTAGAATTATTTCCATGGGTGAACACTTTCTTTTAAGTGTAAAACGTTCAGATAAATGAAGATAGACAATATAAAATAACTCTCCATTCCAGAAAAATAATGGAGAGTTTGAAAAAAAGATTTACGTCACAGGTATATTTTAAAGTTGAGAATCGTAGGTATTATATAAAGTTTACATAAAATGTACACGAAAGTTCCATAACAGTACAATCATGAATGCGTATACTATTGTAAGTATAAACTACAATATCATGAACACGAACACATAACAAGGTTGTTTAGCTGCCTATAGTGAAAGTGATTGTCAAATGCACTTTTTCCTCAAATTCAATATCCCTTCTTTAAGACATATTTAGTACATTCATTTTATTTAAGGTACTATAAATCCTTGAACTTTCTCTGATTTCATCGTCTCTCTAATATGTTTATGAATTTAACTGCCTAGTCACTTCAATGATAAATTGTCAGCGCTATCCATTGCCACTGTCATAAACGCCACTATCATTTCTAATAATAATCTGCTTAGGTTGAATACTTTCACTATGAATAGATGGTGTTGTCGGTCCAGTTAATTTATAATTAAAACTTTCTAGACCGCTTGTAATGATCTCTGTTCCTTCCGTGCTTCCATTCGAAACTGAAACTACAATAAGCGGATTGTGTTATCAATAATACGAAGGTAAGAAAAATTTGATGTCATGATTTATATAACTCTTTTCTATGGCATTGTTTTTTATATAAACGTCGTCGCTATATATATGTAAGTATTATATACATTGTTTTCTGGAGCTATATATCTCTAATAGATCTACATGATTTGGGTAAATTATATTTTCATTTCTAAAATGCAAATCATCAAAATAACCAGATTACACAAATAATAAGGGTTGACAAAAATTGGGCGTACTTTCCTTATTAAACCTCACTGCCTTTACCTTTCAAATACATGTAAAACAAATTTCAGCAATCTTTTAAAATCTTAATGTAGTGATATCCAAAAGCTCTAAGGATATGGGTGTTTAGTTCCAAACTTCACTATTTTTCATTGTTTCCTATTTAGCACAATTGCTAATATTTCCCCAAACTTTATCCCTTCCTACTAGTAAGTTCGGATTTCATCGCCAATTTTTCTTATAGTTATTTTTTTGTTATCTGTTGTCATTTACATTATTATCCCATGTTTTCATATTCCTTTTCGAACATGTACGGTTATTGATATTATAATGCTTACCCGAAACCAATTCACCATATTTTTGTAGAGAACCTGGGCCTTTATCATAGGACATTGGCGAACAGTGTGGAAATTCTGAAAAATACAAAGCCTTTATGTATACTAGTAATTATTCAAATAGAATATATCAGCAGCTAATGTATTGTTATCACTTTGTTCATTCGTTTATAAATAATCCATTTTCAAAATAATTAATAATGAAAATTTAAAACACTGAATATATGTTGTCTGGTTGATTTTGCTGTTGTTATTGCATTATATCGTTGTTATAATCATCACGAGTAAAAGTTTTTAGTGGAGCTCGTCACATTCATTTTCCGTTTTCCCTTAATCAAATTTTGAAATCTTTTCGTGTTTTCGTCTTTTTTGGCATATATTTATGTCTGTCCCTCGTATTATTTTCATAGTTATTCTTGTTTGTTCTTCCTATAATTTTAAAATAAAGTAGTAGGAGAAACAACAGAAGTAGAAGTAGTAGTTGTAGCAGTGGTACTAATGTAGTGTTGCTATAATTTTGTGTATATTTGTAAACAAGTATGATGTGATGACTTACCTTCAGACCCGTATCCACTACTGACCTCCTCTGAAAGTGATAAGTATACTAACGTTACAAAAGCTTATAAACTACTTATCTTAAATTGTCAAATAAGGAAATACCGGTACTTATATTCTACTTCAGTTCGTTTGTTTCAGCGTACACCTTTCTAATTGCTCAATAGTGAATAACATTGAAAAATCCAAAGGACTGAGATGGCACACAACCAGTTTTATTTTTATATACAATAGTTTCTCTAATTCTTCGTCAATTTATCCCTTTCTGCACCCATTGTATAAAAAAAATTTAATCAACGTGTGGTTCGTTTGATCTCAGTTCTTCATTGGTTAAATTCCGATTATGACGTCGAATTTTCTTGCTTTCCTCTGAATTTCCTATTGTGACGGCATGAAAAAAGGCGACCATGCCTGATGACGTCAAAAAGAAGGAATAAGTCTGCCTGCATATTGTTTGAAAATCATTAGAGAAACAGATTCCACCACCAAATCTCGTGTAATACGATATTTATCCACTCTCGACAGTTAAATTTTAAATATTTAAAACGCTCGGCGAGCCTCGCGTTTTAAATTTGAAAATTTAACTGTCTCGAGTGGATAAATATCGTATCACACTCGATGCAGTGGTAGAATCTATATTTACATTGAATTTTATTGAAAGTTCAACAGGTATAACAAAAATACACAACTCCAAGGCAAATTCAAAAAGGGGAAGTCCATAAAAACTGACAAAATCAAACACTTTCAAGCAATGGAACATGTGAAAAACAACTGCCATATTCCGGACCTGGAACAGGCATTTTTCGAAGAAAATGGTGGGTTAAACCTGGTTTTATAGCTAGCTAAACCTCCCACTTGTATGACATTTGTTCATAGTTCGGTTTTATTTACAAAAATGGGTCAGCAACCCAAACAGACATAATAGGTTAAGGTGACAATACTTGGGATCCAGCAGTCAAAACTGTGTAAACATACATTACAGACATACAACACAACTGACTAAACATTTCAAAGTAAAAACAATTGACTTCCTTAATAAAACAGTAAAAAACACCTAGAAAATAAATGATAAACTGTTAGAGAGTTCTATCATGCTTATAAATACAAACTGTGGTTATAATAAACTTGTCGAACTGGTTAGGTATGAACTAAACTCAAAAAATGAAAAAGGTGGGAGATCAACCTTTTTAGTTGAGAAGACCGGACTACTTACAAAAAAATGCCCAAGCATAATACCATCTCTAAAAAGACACAAGTACAACAATTATTGACTAACACAATGGTTGACTTGCATGAAAAGAACATCATTTGTTGACTTGATACAAAAGTCCACCTATTGTTTACTTGCGCAAAGGTTGATTTAAAACACCAATTGTTGACTTAAGTAATAACGATGACTGAAGGATTGTAAATTATTTTATAGAACAACATATAACTCCAGCCTAATTTTTTTTCCATAATTAAAGAAAAATAAATCTCTTGAGTTTTTAGGGACAATACATCTGCAAGTTTCGGGGAACGTCATTTAGTTTTAATTCCAGATCCCATAAATTAAATAGTTAATTATGTAATGACCTTATATAAATAAAATGAGTTATCCAACGGCGACAAAATGACGTGGATGTAAGCAAATATATGTCACCGTTCGATCTGCAACAAAGAGCATGACATAAGCAAACAATTTAAACGAAAACCTAACGGCCTGATATGAGCTAAAACAATAAACGAATAAAATATGACAGACAATAACCAACGACAACAACTGAATTTCAGATTCCTGACTAGGGATAGGCACATTAAAAATTAGTTGGGATTAAATTGGCTTGCGAGTGCTCTTTCCTTCCCAAATCGGGGACAGCAGTATTACCGCACAACATAATAACAGATTGTAAATGCAATTGAAACGGTTTGATGCATCCGTTCGCATCACAAAGCACAAAAAAACAATAAAGAGACAATAAAACAATAAACACAGTGTCTGAAATGTAATTAACAAAAATTCAAGCTTTCGCAGACTATAAGTCAATAATTGCACATCCGACAGATTAAACGTAAAAAATATCAAATATAGTCACAGAAAAACTGACCTTGAGCAATGCTAAAGTATAAGTATCGACAGGAATTAAGACCATAAGTGTTCATAACTGTAAAAGAGTACATATTTAGGTATTTTTAAATATAGTTAGAGGTGGGGATACGGCTGCTACGCAATGTTAAGCAGTGTTGCCATAGAAGTTAAAAGAAAAAGTACAGGTTTCACCCCCGATTGCAGAGGAAGTAAAGAATCAGATCTACTCTAACATTCTTAAGTTGATTTTTGCAGCAATTTTTTGCAGGCCATTTATTAATATTCAGACGCCTGATATTTCCTAATCATAGGACATCAAATAGACAAGTTATAATTTGCAGTTGTCTCTATGGAGCGCACGGCATTGAATATTGAAAAAAATTGTATCATATGATATATTTGAGACCTATCTCTATTTTGATCAATCAAACCTTTGGGAGTAATGTAATATCTATCTTTGAGACCTACCTCTTGTGTGATAAACCAAATGTTCGGTGAATTATGTAATATATACATATGTGTTAACTACCTCCATGTTGATCAAAATATTCTCTATGATTTATGTTATTTCTATATTTGAAACCTACCTTAATTTTGATCAATATAATCATCTGTGACTTCTATAATATCGATATTAGATACCTTCCTCTATTTTATTTAATCTAATCATCTGTGATTTATATAACATCTAGATGTGAGTCCTATTTATATGCTGGTCAAATCTTATCCGTCATTACTTACTTGATATCTTAAGGTTAGACCTACCTGTACTTTGATCAAATCTTTCATGTGAGACTTGCGTCACAGGTTTTAAGCTATGCTCTGTCAGTTGTGCATACCCAGATGTTGAATTTGTATTTAAACTATCTTTATCTAATCTTGGCGCTTGCGATAAAGACATTTGTTTATGCTTTTCCATACAATCTACCTTATACACATCCTCTATATTTTCGGTAATCAGTTGTTCTCCAACAGTAATGTCAATTCGATCAACATCTGAATGTTCGACTGGGTATGATATATCTTTCTTGTTATCAAAAATTCCAGTAATGGCTATAGGCAATTCTTCCACGTTTTTAACTTCAATGTCTTTTATATTTTTTGAACATCCGTTGTCACTGCAGAATACATCTCGACAAGAATCATTGGTTGATTTTATGCTTTCATCATTTACATTGTCTTTGTTTACTTCGTTCTCAATGTTACCACCGGTTTCATCCTGATTCCCGTTTACAACATTGTCATTCTTCATTTTGTTATTTTGAGTCGCCGAAACCAGAATTTCTCCTTGTTCTATAACATCTGCATCTAAAAATGGCACCATAATCAGAGCAAAACATCTGCTGGTCTAATGTTATATATTTATTACATAATTTTTCTTTTTTGTTATTTCTTTTATCTGAAATATTTTCGTTTTTGAAGTCACAAAAGTCACTCAAATACAAGATTCTTTTAGGTATAGTTTAATGGCGTTCTCTTCTTGTTTTGTCTTCAAATTTTAACATGTTTGAATATATTTTTCCTGTTGCAGTTTTATAGCGTGGCCTTGTATTTTTGTCTTTTAAATTTTCTCATGTTAGTATATGTTTTTCTTTTATGAAGTGCAATTTAAAGGAGTGATCTTGTAGTTTTGACTTTTTAAATTTTCAAACATTGGAATATGTCGTTTTCTTAAGTGCAGATTTATCTTTTTAATTAAATTCTTATTAATAAACATGATGCATGATTTAATTTTACCTTGATCTGTCTTACTTCTGTCCTTTCGTAACAATACAAGAACAAGGACTATGCAGACCACTGCAAAAACTGCACAAACTGCAAAAACTGCAAAAACTGCCAACACTACAACACTGCAAAATTTATCAATATATAAACAAATGTTTACAAGCTATCTAAAAGTTTAATATTGTTAAATTCGTTATCTTTTTTATCCAATTTTTTATTGAGTTGATTACTTATAATTATTATTGAGTTGATTACTAATAATTATTATTGAGTTGATTACTAATAATTATTATTGAAAGTAGAAAGAAAAGTAGTAGCCCTCATCCTTCTTTCAAGTAAAATTTACGAATATTGAAAATAAATATTGAGCATCTGTTACCAGAAAGCAAGAAAAATATTCTTCCTTTGAAAGTTCACTTGTCTTAAAATAAAAAGTTTTAACATCCAATCATGCACTTTTAAATTCACATGCAAATTGTACACATCAAAGTGTGTAAATGATGACGCTAGAAGGTAAAGCAGTTTGTCAAGTTTTCAGAAATCGTTTCTCTGTATATTTCATATAAAACAACATTTCCTACAATGTACATTTTAATCTTATTGATTTATCACCATTTTGTGTATTAAGGTTTCTCCGGAATAATATTAAGGCTTTGTAGTAAGCTGAGAGGTTTGGCATGCCACAAAACCAGGTCCAACCCACCACTTTTTTCTTAAAATGTCCTGTACCAAGTAAGGAAAATGGCCATTGCTATATTATAGTTCGTTTCTGTGTGTGTTACATTTTAATGTTGTGTTTTTGTTGTGTCGTTGTTCTACTCTTATATTTGATGCGTTTCCCTCAGTTTTAGTTAGTAACCCGGATTTGTTTTTATCTCTATCGATTTATGAGTTTTCGAACAGCGGTATACTACTGTCGCCTTTATTTAGGTATTTTTAAGTTAGCTAGAACACTCAACTTAATTTCGTTTTATATTAGAAGAGAACATATTGACGTTTTATATTAGAAGAGCACATATTGACGCCAAAATCTCTGAATACTATCTAAGTATTCATTTCTTAAAAATCATCAACTAACTATTTGTCACAAATATTTGTCTAACTCTCATTTGTTCTATTAATACATTGCCAACACAGATAACTTAGTTGAGGAAGGGACGCATAATAATTTATAAAAAGTACTCATTAAAAAAACAAATCGTGTTCTTTACCTTTCATCATAAAAATATTTGATTATTTGATTGACAAAATATATGTTACGACGGGTCGATTTGTGACCTTTCCATAATTATCAAGATGATATGATATTTCAGGGATTGAGTTTAGAAACAAGATTTCACTGACAGAGGTTGGTACTTACAAGACGGCTATTAACGAAGGTTTTATTTAGGGGGTGCCCAACACTATGAATAAAATAGAATTGGCTCGTTTAATTTTCATAAAATATTTAATTTGACCAGTTGACAAAAATATAAAAGTTTCAAAAAATTTGAACCACACAATTTACAGGAATAATTTATAGATATATAGATATATAGTAGTTTGACAAACACTTATTAGCTATACCGATGGTATGTTTTGTTGTTGTCTCCTTGTAAGATTAGTGCAGATAAAACATCTTTGACTGTCTCACAACTTTCTCTTAGTGCAAGTTAGAGCTAAATATATAGTATAAACACTTGTTTATTATTAAATATTGTATGTAAATTTTAGTTTTTGGTTGTTTAATTAAACGATATGGTAACAAGAGTGTAATACCTTGGAAATTGTTTTTGTATACATTAAGTAATGTTCTAAATTAATGTTCTAAAAAAACATTAAATACGTAATAGGTGATTACTATAAATTCTATTTTATATGAAATGCTCTTTTTGACGAACCGATATTGGGAAAGACGGAATAATGTTTTATTATATATACTGATGATTTTAAGGTAGACGGATTGCGTCTGGCTTCTGACTAGTTTGGTATCTTTGATGAATTTTCACAATCAAATCAAGTTACTAAGTGGTTTTTATCTGTTTAAAAATCATTCATTTACAAAATTTGTATTCTTACACCACAATTAAATCATTTGAAGATGCTTTCTCAGTTGAATCTGGTGTCTGTGCTCTTCCGTGTGTTATTCCGTCTGTTGAATGAAAAAAACTCAAACGATAAGTATACTCTGGATTAAATGCGACGAAAAAACAGTGCGACTTTGAATATGAATACAAACTCTGCTTGTACTACGAATGTGCCACAACAAAAAGTCTTGCTCTCGAAAAACTTTATGATAATAATAATAGTAATAATAATAAAATTCGTAAGGGTTCCGCGGAACCCAGTGTCTCGCCTACTTTTTCTGTTAATCGCAGGCTCAACAAAAATGAGGAAGTAAATCAATAAAAATATTCCTCTTAATACTATCTTTTGATTGTAAGAAGCTTCTGTCCAAGTTTGGTAAAAATCGAGGATAGTTTATGAATCTAATAAATGTTTAAAAACTTTAACTGCAGACAATGTAATGTTAACTGAAAGAAAACAAAATTTCCTTCTAGATACTAGCATTTGATCATAAACAAGCTTCTGTCCAAGTTTGGTACAAATCCAAAATAGTATAAGAAAGTTATTAAAATTTTAAAAACTTTAACCACAGAGTGAATGTGTTGTTTCCTGGCAGAAAATCTAAGTCCATTTAAAAGTAAAATAAGAAAAAATGGATTTATTTTTTTACAAAATTTACTTCTAGATACTATCTTATGATCATAAACAAGCTTCTGTCCAAGTTTGGTACAAACCCAGGATAGTTTAAGAAAGTTATTAAAATTTTAAAAACTTTAACCACAGAGTGAATGTAATATTTCCCGGCAGAAAAACTAAGTCCATTTATAAGTAAAATACGGAAAAAATGGAATTTTATTTTTACTAAATTTACTTCTGGATACTATCTTATGATCATAAACAAGCTTCTGTCCTAGTTTGGTAGAAATCCAGGATAGTTTAAGAAAGTTTTTAAAATTTCAAAAACTTTAACCACAGAGTGAATATTTGTGGACGCCGCCGCCGACGACGCCGACGGAATGTAGGATCGCTATGTCTCGCTTTTTCGACTAAAGTCGAAGGCTCGACAAAAATGATGATAATAATTATGATAATAATATAGCTGTTTCGGCTAATTCAAAAAAGCGTTTCGGACCCATGCAATTTATACAGTGGGTTTTTTAAAATTTGTTTTTAACTCACATCTCTTCACCAGAGTATCCATTGTCAATCAGTTATCGGTCGCCATCGTTAATTTATCAATCGATATCATGTGATTATAACACAACATTGAACTGTATCTTAACAGAATAAGATTTACTACCTATTTTACAATTTTGCACTGCAGCGACTGCCGCATGCGAAACAGAATAAGAATACTAGTTCACACGCCTATTCTCTCTTTTTATTGGATGCTACTGTTTGACTCCATTGAGTATCGATTAATTTGCAATATGTGGTGTTTACCCCGACCAAAGAGCGGACAACAGCCGAAGGTCACCAATGGGTCTTCAACTTAGCGAGAAAATTCCGCACCCGGAGGTGGTCCTCAGCTGGCCCCTAAAAAACTGTGTACTAGTTCCATCAATGCCTAATAATTAATAACTTTACCTTCTGATTGTGTTTTACCAATACTAGGAACCAAAGTAGCGATTGCTTCTCTTTCCGTCAATGGAAAGGTCTCATTTCCGGTTGTAACATATATCCGACTGTAAGTCATGATAAAAATTTCATTATTACTAACTAAAATAGCCTAGATTTTCTATTTATGTTTCCTTCTCGTATATTTAAGTAAAAGAGTGAAAAGCTACCGAGCGGGATATCAAATAAACAAGTCGCAAAATACGACAATCCCTTTATAAAAAGTCAAAACGACCACAAAAAAAAAACAGTTGAAATGTATTTCAGAAAGACTTTTTTTATAAAAAATCTCATTTACCAATGATTGTTTGTTAAATATAGATTCTACTATGGCATCAAGTTTGATAAGATTTTTATCCATTCGAGGCAGTTAAAAAAAACGAGGCTGTCCGCGCGTTTTAAATATTTAAAATGTAATCGTCGAGTGTAAATAATATCTTATTGCACGAGATTTGGCTGGGAATTCTTTTTTTCTAAAGAATTTTAGACGATATGCAGACAAATTTAATCCTTTTTTTTTAATGATCTGCAAGCAGATGTGTTCTTTCCATATGACGTCATCAGGCATGGTCGCCTTTTTCGTGACGTCACAATGGGAATTTCAGAGGAGAGCAAGAAAACTTGACGTCATAATCGAATTTTGACCAATGAATATCTGAGATCAAACGAACCACACATTGATTAAATAAAAATAATCAACGGACCAAGAAAGGGATAAAGCGGGTAAGAATTAGAGAAAAACAATTGCACGGACCATTCTTTATTTTCCAATATTTTCAATGTACTAAAGATTATCTAATGAAATTTCAAAATTTTAAATGTTGTTATTTTTTATGACAAAATTTGATTATCTAAATGTTGTAATTTGATGTAGTTTTACACAAGCATCGCACAAGTTGGCACTCCGAGGCGGGTGGGGAGCAAAAAGATGAACTGTGGTTTATTTTTATCAATATTACCGCTTAAGTCGACGCTAGGGGCCGTCTTGACCTTGTTGTAGGGTATGAATGATTCTTTCATTGTTGAAGACCCTACATCAACTGTCAAGATGAAGAACAGGAACAAAAGCCCTGTTTATTGATAATTTTCTATGTTTTCTATGTATTGTGTGCGATTTTGTCCCATGTACATTTACTCCATATCCTTTCATTTTCTAATGAATTTCTTCAGATACTTCCGTGAAAGATAAACTTTCTAGTATTATCATACAAGTTAAAAGATACAACTCTATTATTACCAGACATATTGGCAATATAGGACTTAAGTATTACAACTGTTTAGTCTATTTTTGGTAATATCATTTTTGCATGGGTCGATATTTATACATCCCGCCAAATGTGTTAATGTGCTATGGACATTTTTGTAGTCTCGTTTCTCATTTTTGCTTATGTACTTTGTCTATAGAGTTTCTTCGTGCCATTTTGTTTTTCTTTGTTAAAATATTTATTTGTTTTATATTTTCAAACAATGTTGATGTTTTTACCCAAATTTTAGACATTTTTACCTATTATGTCTGTTTGTTTTTTATCACACATTGCTATCAATATAAAGGAATTCTATACGACTGTCATACAAGTGAAATGTTTAGCTATAAAACTAGGTTTAATCCAACATTTTCTTTAGAAGAAAATGCCTGTACCAAGTCAGGAATATGACAGTTGTTTTCCATTCGTTTGATGTGTTTGAGATTTTGATTTTGCCGTTTTGAATATTCCTTTAAGCTCGGTATTTTTGTTATTTTACCTTTTTCATTAACTTTGATAACAGCAGTATAATTTGTTTTCATTCGTTTTAAGGGTTAATGTTCAAATGATTATTATATAAACATACAAACCTTTTTGTTTTCGTAGATGTTAAAATTCTTTGTGTTTCCTGAGTGCTGAAATCAAACAATTTTACAGTATACTAGCTGCTATGACAAGGGTATTATATATATATGTATATGTTGATTGCATGGTACAGTTCACCGAATACAGATTTCAAAATTGAATGTCCATTGCAATGGTAAACTTTATAAAAAACATACAATACTACACATTTGGTGTCTAAATGTAAAAATCAATAGTCCATTAAGTGACAGTTAGGAGTAGTTCAATTTCAATATGCAGAAAAAAAAACTGAAAGACAGGAACAGTCATTAAGACGATCATTTTCTGAAAATTTAATGTTCCTGACAAGTCAAAGCATTTGAAACAATAAGGTTTTCATTCCAATGCATAAATAATCTTCAATTTTAGTTATATATTTTGTTTCTTCATTCTAAGAGCATAGGTTCATGTTCGATTGATTATTATATAATCATACAAACCTTTTTGTTTTTGTAGACGTTAAAATTCTTTGTGTTACCTGAGTACTGAAATGAAACAATTTTACAGTGTACTAGCTAAGAAATCGGAAAATCATTGGAAAGTGGAAATCATCACGTTAGACAGATTATAATTTGAAGTCGTCAATTTGTGTCAATATTGAGATCAAGATATGAACCAGACCTTCTACTTTCGATAAAATCCTTAATATAAAGTTTACTGGGACATATGAGATGTAAGCACCCATTGAAATGTGGACTATTGAGTGACAAAACATCATCGAGATACTAGTATCTGAAAGTGGAAATTAAAGAACTTCGCAAGATGCTTTTTCTTTTTGTCTTTGAGAAGGTTCTGTCGGAATTCGGCTCCATACGAATAAAATCCAAATCCAAATCTGTCAGTAGTGGTGCACTTTAAGTGCCCATTGGAGTACATTGCACTGATTGTCTGCTGAAATATCAATCCACAAACTGAACACATATGTTGTCGATAAAAAAACAGCATTTTGATGATATCATCTTCGGTGTATTTATTGTGGCAATTAGTGTGGTTCTTCCTAAAGTAAGAATGTCATATTCTTAACTTGATTCACATACATTTAAAAGAAACTGGTAGTGGAACAGATTTTACAGCGTGCTACACCTCCAACTTGTACATGTAAATGAGGCAATTCCGTTACAATAATGTATCTAGTAGCAAATAAATCCAAAGTGATGCTATGTATTCACTCATACAAAATGTAAATGTCTCCGCTTAACAACAATTACTGCTAGTGGTAAAAGTAAAAATATAATTATTTGATGTCTTAAAATTAACCAACAAATAATTTCAGTAATTGATTAAAAGAAAAACAACATTTGTTCATTGTATTGTCTTTTAAATTGCAGGTATTTTACCTCTATTGTTAAAGACTTGTCTCGACAAAGTCATCGCTAGCTAGACACAATACCCATTAATAACTACTTCGTGCTTTCTTAATTGTGATTGAACAATTAAATTTGATGTTAATTGTTTTTAAATATTTTGTAAAAATTTACGTACCTTACAACTGGAACCTGGGAAGGAAAACAAGGACCACATCCGGATTCATTTTTCCATGTTCCTGCTGGACATTTGAGACATGCTGAAATGTGAACGGTTAGGATTGGGCTAACATGGATGCATCTTTGCCGATTGTTTATTTTACTTACTATAGATTATTTGTTAACATGATTTATGGAAAATGATGGGTGCAATAATAACTAATTGTTAGGCTAAGTAAATCCATGTGTACATTTCAACCTGTGTTAAAACTTGAACAAAATATTACTGATCATATTTTTAGGGGCAAAAGTGGAAAATCTGTTCACTTCCCTTCTGCATCTCATCTTTTATTGACAATATATCTCAAAATCAAATGTATCTTACTCTTAATGAGGATAATATTTTTTTACAATCAATAGTTTATGATATGTTAAGGATTACAAATATAGAAACAAATTACCACGGCAGTAAAGTAATGACTTACTTCCATTTGAAAGCATAGTTTCACCCTGACCACATTCACGATATGTACAGGCACATGGGTCGCCAAAAGAACACTTGTCTGTATCACACTTACAAAACTCTACGCTAGAACCACAACCAATTGCGATGTTTTCACGACTAGGCTCTAAATCTGAAATATTTTAAAGAATACAGGTACATATTTGGTAAATAAATGGTACGGTATAAACAGATCAGATTGTTTCAATCTACTTTGAGCTATATTTTATAATTAAGAGAAGCAAATAAAATTAAAATATCGCCAAATTTTTGTTGAATTAAATAGCTACATGTTTGCGTAGTCTTATATCTTTAGTGGCCTCGGTGGCCGAGTGTTCTAAGTAGTCCAACTACTGTATCACTAGCAAGTCAACACTGAGTTTTTGAGTTCAAATCACGCACGGGCAGGTGCACTCGACTCTAATCTTTATTGACTAGGATTGTCAGTTTTCCTACCGAAGGTAGGTGGTTTTCCGGGCACTCCGGCTTCCTTCACCAATAAAAACTGACCGCCACAAAATAGCACAATAGTGTTGAAAGTGGCGTTAAACACCAATCAATATTAGATCTTTAAATACCAGTATATGTGTCCTATTCCGAACTGTGACACTGAGACAAAGTGTGGATTTTCATGGCGGTTGATACATAGATATAAAAAAACGCTGACCGTTTCAACGCACCCGGTCTCGCTCCTTTTGGAATTCATGCGATTACCTCATTTTTTGTTTAGTACCTTGTTTGGTTTGTTTTTTAATCGGTTTACGAGATTTGAAAATCGGTAAACAACTGCTGCCGTTATTAAGCATATATATTGTTTTCCATTTAATGATTATTTTCAGCTTTATATTGTCTATTCCAAGTGATTGTGGTCGTTAATATACAGGTCAAAAATGATTCAGGGAAAATGAATTACCGGGTAGTATTTTAAGTTTGTTTTAAACTACATAGATGTAGTCAATTGTATATCTAAATGATTGTCACCTATATAGGTTTTCTTTTTGGATATACACAGTTCATGCGAGTTATGTAATATTATGTACACCGTTGTAAAGATTTTATTTTTATTTTATTTATGAGTGGGATGGCTTTTTATATGAATTTTCCCGATTATGTTTGGTCTGTCACCCTCTTTTGTACTGCAAAGTAAATGTGAAACAGCATGTCTACTTTCGCCCTTTAGACAACAGAATAGGGGCGGTTCCAGGATTTATTTTAAGGAGTAACAACGCTATTATTTCTCCGAGTGAACCGATTGGGATAGTGTCGACGTTTGTTTGCGAAAATGTTTTTTTTTTTCTTCACATTTCAGAGGGCATGCGCCTGTAGCCAACCGGTCCCGTTTGAATCAGCCCAATACACAAGTCAGTGTCCCCATTCTCCCTTTCGACCATACACAAATAATAAATGTTAAATAGATACCGTCTGGACGACATTTATCGACATTTTTATTCTTAAAACACTTGGTAAGTTTCGGATCCTCGGTAGACTGTATATAATCAGGCTGGACAAGTCCTGAAGGACACGATGTACAGATGTCTTTTGTGTATTCAGCTTCGCATGGTAAAATTTCATGTCCTAAACATAAATGTAAAATATGTTATAAAAGCAAACATGTGATCAATTCATATGCTACAAACATGATTTGCGCGTCCTTATTTCCATGAAGACACGTTCTGATTATGTGTTACAGTTTGGTCAATTGCTTATGAATATTTATTGGTGATATATTCTTGTTGCCGAATACATATAGTTATTTCACGTATTTCTACATATAATTACGAAGTGAAATCAGCTGGTTTTTGTGTTTTTGTTAATATGAGCCTGTTTGAAACCCGTCACAAAGAGTTTTTTTTTAACTAGCTATAGTTCAAATTAGATAAAAGGGATACAGGGACAGAAGTAAACAACCGAGATTGAAAGTAAAAAAGGTAATACATAAACTCATCATAGATACAAGGATTGAAATTTACTGACTTTAATTTTCTCGTTTGAAATGTTTTACATATGTCATTTAGGGGCCCTTTATAGCTGCTATGCGATATGTGCTTTGCTCATTGTTGAAGGCCGTACGTTGACCTATAGTTAACTTCTTCGTCATGTGGTCCCTGATGGAGAGTTGTCTCATTGGCAATCATACCATATTTTTCCTTTTTTTTATATTGACTTTAGTTAAGATGTCAAAGTCGGGATATAAACCCGCTGTATTTGTATGCACCTGTCCTAAGTCAGGAGCCTGTTGTTCAGTGGTTGTCGTTTGTTGTCGTGGTTCATAAGTGTTTCTCGTTTCTCGTTTTTATATATAGATTAGACCGATGGTTTTCCTGTTTGAATTGTTTTAAACTAGTCATTTTGGGGCCCTCTTTATAGCTTGCTGTTTGGCGTGAGCCAAGGCTCCGTGTTGAAGGCCGTACTGTCTCATTGGCACTCATTCCACATCTTCTTATTTATATGAACAGTAAATTCGACCAAGCTTAAAGAATACAACTCTTTGAACTTACTGGAACGTTTCTAGTCAACGGTGTATACAGTACGGGGAATGTTGTAAGGTGTTATTTTGTATGATGTGATAGTGTATGGTGCATAGTGTACTTGTTTAAGGTGTAATGGGGTATAGTGCATGGTGTATGGTGTAATTAGGTATAGTGTGTTGAGTTTGGTGTATGGTACATGGTGTATGGTGTTTGGTGTTTGGTGTAATGGGATATAGTGTATGGTGTATGGTGCATAGTGTACTGGTGTAAGGTGTAATGGGGTATAGTGCATGGTGTATGGTGTAATTAGGTATAGTGTGTTGAGTTTGGTGTATGGTACATGGTGTATAGTTGTTTCGCGTATTTCTACATATAATTACGAAGTGAAATCAGCTGATTTTTGTGTTTTTGTTAATATGAGCCTGTTTGAAACCCGCCACAAAGAGTTTTGTTTAACTAGCTATAGTTGAAATTAGATTAAAGGGATACAGGAAAAGAAGTAAACAACTGAGAACATTGGAACGACAAATTTCGAAATAAGTTGTAAAATTTTCTTATTTGGTACATGGTGTATGGT